TATTAATTTATTTTAAACAATTATAAAATATATAGATATATTTAATATAAGATAACAGTTAAATTTGAAAGCACCGATATATTCAAGAATTGGAAGATAATCTTTCTCTCTAAACCGTAGGTAGGAAGTGGAAAATCTACGAGTGAAGAACAACAACAGGATGGGTGTGTCGGGAAATATATGCAGTATGATGATGAATGTATACAAACGCCTCTTCTTCGGGATATATATTCCTTCATATAAAATATAAATATATACAACACACAACAAACACGTATATAAAAGATAATTTTACCGATCATCGATTTTAACTATTGGATTTATCGATTACTATATTTAAACACCATATAATTAATATCCCAATTATTTATTCATCTATTTCGAACATAAATCAAGATTATAATAAACACGATTGTAATACAATCAAATGAATCATCATTTCTTATCTTTTATTTGCTAAAACTTCAACTGGAAGTACATATATATATCAAACGTGATAACATAGTATCATGATTCATCCTTGATGATCTTTATAAATATGTATTATAAACATCTAAGAAATAGATTTTCATTTTTAACGATAAACATATAATATAAAATATCGTAGTATCATATTTCTCGGTGACATCGCCAATTGGTAAAGATGTAACATTGTCACGAAATATAAACGTGATTGTCTTTTAACAATAGAACAATAACAACAATTCTTGACCTAGAAAAATGAACATAATTGAGGGGTACAGGTAGTATGGGGGAAAATTATTTAATAGGATAGTTACACGAAAATGAATATTACGAATATAGGTAAAAAAAAATACGTAACCGTATATATATAAGTATGTATTGATGGTATACACACATACAAATATAAATATATGTATCCTATTCGAAGAGAGTATTTTTTTTGTTTGTTCTTTCTCATTTCTTTCGAAGAGCCAATCACGTTCGATAACGGTTAACCTTTTTCTCTTGCATTTAATAATTCTTCTTGCATTTTGCTCCCTTCCTCCCTCCCTCCCACCCCCCCCATTCCTACTTTTCTGTTCTTCCTGTTAGAAACATGACGGCATTTGACTTATTTCAAATCGGCTTCCTCGTAATACTACTTTCGGAAACCGTAACCATTCGACTCGAGGAGAGGAGGACCGTTATTCTCAATCGGCGTTGTTATGGGGAACGGAAACCGGAAAAATATTGGTTACGGTTCACGAGAACCCCGAAGAGAACACTTTCCGTGCTACATTGAGCTTTTGGTTCACAAGCGGAATCGATTAAAACGATAATCGATCATTCACCGAATAAGTAGGGATCTGATAGTGATAGGAGGGGTGGTAGGGGGTCAAGGGAGGCAAACGAGACTTCGTAGACCCCCTTTCTCTTCACCCATCCACCCACTAGACCTCCTCCAACCTTTTGTAATCACCTTGTCACGCAAGCGGAACGCGAGAAGCTATAGAAAAACTTTCAACTTCGATCGGTACCCCCCGAAGGTGACCAAAAAACACGATAGAAACTCGTTAACTGTTATATTTTTCGCATATTTTTTTTTTATAATAACACAAAAGAAATCTTTTCTTCTGTGTAACCTTAATTTTTCTTATCTATTTCTCTATCTACGTTTTTATTTAAGGAAAAATGATTATAAGGTTACAAAAATGAATTGTTCAATCAATATTATAACAAAGTTGAAAAATGTAAGATAATAAAAATATCTTATTGTTAACCTTAAATGTAATATTAATTGTTTCCTTATCTCTTCTTTTTCTTTCTACATTTTTACGAAGAAAATGACTCAACAACGTTGAAATAATCTAATCTAAAATACAGTAAAGAAAGAAAAATAATAAACAATATATTTGTAACGAGGATATATGTTAAAAGGTTGTTATTTGTTGTCTCAGTATTATTCGTTTCTATTTTAGATTTAGAAGATTTTTAGAAGAGACTCAGAACAATACGTTTCTATTGCTATACAGGAAAAAGAATTGTTAAAGAGAGAGAGAGAGAAGAAAAAATGGAGAACAAAGAAGCAAAAGTCTTATACAACACAACCGATGCATAGTACTTACTTACTTACTTACTTATCGACCTGCCGATTTTCTATTCAACAAAATGAGTACGTGTGAATGGGCAGACATCTTATCACGTATGCATTCGAGCATTACCTTCGATACATGTTTAACTATCACTTTAAGAATCTCAATAACCTTTTTTGTACGTGTCATCAGAAATGATCCCCGGAAATTTACAATTTAATATT